GATTTGACAAAAGATAGACAATCGAGTCAATCATGCTGGTGAGGCTAATCACATGAGCTAACAAAATATGTCAATCGATAAGATCATGCCAGCACAGTCGATCGGACGAGTTGACAAATGGCAAAAAGGTGTTGAAGGATCAGATCGAGCATCTACGACCGATTAGGCGAGTCTATATAATATAATTGTTCATGATGATCGTGCCAGTGGGATTGATTTGACGAGCAGATGAAGCATCTCTATCGATCAAATCTTGTCGATGCGACAGATTGGTGGAGTTGACAAAAGATGTTTATCGATTGGATCGGGTTAGTGCGACTAGTCGGACCAGTTGACAAAATATAGCACGGTGCCTAAGCGCTGAGTCTGACGCTTTGGTGCCGCCCCCAAGGGGGCTACTTTTTGACTTCTTGGGATCAAAATTGTATTTTTGGGCGTCTAGGGGCCAGTGGCTAGCTCTGGGGCATGGCGTCTAAGTGCCCAGTATAAGCATTGAGGTGTTAGGGCTTGGAGCCTAGGCGCCCAGGGCTGGCGTCAAGGCACCAATCTGACACGAGAATTTTGATTTTTCACCGAAAACATGCGACGAAGGATTTTTTCTATCCGTAAAATTTTGGAAGCACGTGACTAAAATATACTCCCACATCTTCAAAAATGAGTTTTTTCGTGGGTATTAAATTAGAGATTTTGTTGTCAACAGGTGCTTTAAATTACCGCGTGGGTATTGAGTTCTAAACCGTAATTTTCTCGAAAACGCCCATGGGAGCTTTGATGATTCCTTTGACAACAAGAGGCTTTAGATGTATAAAGTAATGCATTTAAACATTAGAATGGACCTTGAATATCCTTATACCACAATTGGTGCCACCAAATGATGGACTCTCCCGAGCAAGACTGAATCATCGCAGACCCTAGTTTTGTGTCCCAAACGCGCACCAGGTGGTATATATAGATGTCTTGAGCTACAAGATGCTACGAATGAAGATTAAATCATCCCAAGTCATTGATCGGATTGGGCCAGTGTGACCGCTCGGCCGAGTTAGCAAATGATAGTCGATCATGCAGATCGGCCTGGTGAGGCCAATCGGTCGAGCCGATAAAATATGTCGATTGCTACGATTAGGTCGGTGCGATTGATCGATCGATTTGACAAAATATAGACAATCGAGTCAATCATGCTGGTGAGGCTAATCACATGAGCTAACAAAATATGTCAATCAATAAGATCATGCCAGCACAGTCGATCGGACGAGTTGACAAAAGATGTTGAATGATCAGATCGAGCAGCTACGACCGATTAGGCGAGTCGATATAATACAATTGTTCATGTTGATCGTGCCAGTGGGATTGATCTGACGAGCAGATGAAGCATTCTATCGATCAGATCTTGTCGGCGCGACAGATTGGCGGAGTCGACAAAAGATGTTTATCGATTGGATCGGGTTAGTGCGACCAAACGGACCAGTTGACAAAATATAGCACGGTGCCTAAGCGCTGAGTCTGACGCTTTGGTGCCGCCCCCAAGGGGGCTACTTTTTGACTTCTTGGGATCAAACTTGTATTTTTGGGCGTCTAGGGGCCAGTGGCTGGCTCTGGGGCATGGCGCCTAAGTGCCCAGTATTAGCATTGAGGTGTTAGGGCTTGGAGCCTAGGCGCCCAGGGCTGGCGTCAAGGCACCAATCTGACA